TACTTACTGAGATATTACACTTCACGGTGGATAGGTTTTTAAATAGCAAATTAAAAACTTTGTAAAAAATAATTAATTGCGGTTAAAAATCTGGAACCTGAGCTGTAATATGAACTTAATTATGAAAGACTTAACTTAATTTAGAAATTAGCGTAATACAGTGTTGCCGGATCTTCTACACGAGAATGACAAATTGATAATTCGGTCCTATTTTGTAGACAATTAAATCTGCGATTAAAGGCGAAATTTCTGTTGTAACGAAACAATGTAGTTAACCTTAAGAAAAACTAAACCATGTAAAACAAATGAACCAAATTATGACACCGTTGCCGAATGTGTAACATCTAATTTGTAAACAAAACATGAACTTTTTGTGATACTAAATAAACCATTACACGCATGTTTAACAGTGATTATTTACATATTATGCTTAATTTTGGTTGAGTTGGTAATGTGAAATTTAAACAAAAAATATTTTTAAACATTTCTTGTTGTACAATTCGGATAAATGGGTCGTTTTCAAAAAAACACCCGCCTTCCGCTGTCCGTAAGTTTGAATTCCAATAACTTTGTTAAAAATTATCGGATCTTATTGATTTAAAAACCAAGTGAAAGCCTAACAAGCCCTTAGTAAACTCTTTCAGAAAATGTTTGTTTATTTATTTCAGAATAATTTTTTTTTTAATTTTGAAACTTGTTAAACACACTCTTTCGCATGTCCCATTAGCGTTTTATAAAACTTACATACATGTTTTTTTTTTTAAATATTGAATAACCAGAACTTTGTGTTGCTTTATAGTAATCTATAACATCCTTAGTTAATACAGTAAACAATTTATTTATAAATTAATTAATTTTAATCTACTTTTTTTAAATTTGACTCATGTCCCAGACATTTTTTCCGTTGCGTTATGTCCGTCGCGTTACCGATAGAATATTAACATATATATGGCAACTTTTTTGGTACTCACGTGATCAACAAATGATGTTCGGACGTACACATTACCCAGCTGAATTTATTTATTCAATCAGGAAGAAGATATCGGTTGAAACAGGTGCGGGTAACGCGAATGTAATAATTGTTTGTCCGCTAAGTTACTCAAAAAAATAATAAAAATAAGGTAAGAAAAAATACTATTTTTCATGTTTATGTTTATTTTAGGGCGTAAAGCTCATTGAGAGTAATTAATGACTGTAATGTCTTATTATTATTATTTAAATATGGTTTCACAAAACTTTGTCCACTGCGTTACCGAGTCCATTACGTTACCTTATGGCAACGCAATGAAATTTAGGGTAACGCAATAGAATTTTTCGACAACAAAGTGGATATTTACCGTCGCTTTTATTAAAAGTAGTTTATGATAAACCAATTTAAAATTATTTGTGATTACAACTCATGATATAGATTACATCCAAGGGAAAATTCCACGCAATATACAAGTACTAAAAGACACCAGCTTATAGTCAAAGAAAAAGGGTGTCTACAATTTAGAAATCTAAGTTGTTATTCTGCAAGTGAGCACCACTACAAGAGATTTTGTTTATGCATTACTCTAAAATCGTACCACCCTTTATAGTTTCTTTTTTACGTTATCTGATTAAGTCCTTTGTGTACCCAGTCCGTTGTGATACCAATGTCAATTCGTTACTTTTTTTAGTTTTTGTTAAAAAAAAATCCTTAAAATGATTTTACTATCACTTGGTAGTACCTGTTTATAAATTAGAGTTTAACTCACTAATACAGTGACTAAAAGAAAATAATAATGGTATTGTTTTTTTAACAAAGAATCGGAATGGTGTCTTTTAAAAAGTAACTTAACTAACATAAATATTTAAAAAAGGCATATAATTTTTAATAAAAAATAAAATTGGAGTCAAAAGTTTGTGAACTAAGTACATTTTATTTCAACTTATTTTTATAAGAACTTTTTTTATTGAATTAAATTTTGGATTTCAAATTGGTAACACAGTGGAGACATAAAGCTAGCTAAACACATTTTTCTGAAAAAAACGTAACAAAAAATTATAAAGTGCACTGCCTGTCTTAAATGTAAGTAAACAAAACTCTAAACATTTATGAAAATCCAGCCAAAAGTCAATTTAAGCAAAAAAAAATTTGATCTTCATTTTCCTGAAAGCGGGTGTTTCTTGAAAATGACCCAAATATAGTATATCTTTGAGTTAGAATATAAATTTTATTTATATAATTTAGTTTTATTTTTCTTTTTGTCACCCTTGCATCCCAAAAATTATCAAAATTAGATTAAAATATGGCACCAATTTGTTCAACAAATTCATACAATTATTAAACCAAATCCAATAATTTTTTGTCTGTGTACCTATACTTAATATTTTATTTAAGTTAGAAATTTCAATCAACTTCCTTCAACAAATTATCATGCTATTTCCTACTTAAGTCGAGTTCACAGGCTCATAAACGTAAAGATAATAGCAGGCCATGTATGTGTGTCAAATGCGCAAAAATGCAACGCCAACCATTACCTGTGCGTCGAGTGCAATACATAAGTATGCCTGTTTCGCACAGTATTTCAAATTGCAAAAAAATATTGTTTTCAAAGAAAATTAAACAGTATTTTTTTATGAGAACATATATAATATAATAATTATACTGTTCCAGACCGGGCCAGTCACTTTTTCAAACAGTTTCCGAAATATCTGTGTTTTCTAAATTTAAATGCAAGGGAAGTGACGAGTATACCAGGGTACTAATTAAATACATAATTTATTGAAAAATATAAAATTTATTGCAACTTTGAGCATATTATACATTAAATATCTTAAAATCAAATAATACCACACATCAGTGGCGGCTGGTGGATTTTGGGTATACCGATATCCCAATTATTAGATATGGGACCCACACCAAATTTATATGAGTTTATAATGACATTAAATAAACAAGTTCTGCGCAAGCAGAATTTAAATTGAAGTTTGCGAAAAAAATATAACCGAAACATCGAACATGGAACTGACGACACGGTACTGATGAATGGGATACAAATTTGAGATTATAATTCGGAATTAAGTATTTTACTGAAATTTTTTATTAGTGGATGCTACTTATGAACAAATCACATATAGCCTTATATAAATTACAATGAAATATATATACGTAAGAAAATAACTATACGTGCATTTACCACAACTTCGCCGCTTGCATTGTTTTCAGGATGACTGTCGTGCAAAGGGCGGGCTCTGTAGGTAATTTTTTACCAACACTTGAGTTAAAACGAGGACTTGACGTTAAAACTTCAATATTTCGCAGGAATTGGACACAGAACTGACGGGTAAAAGTGAGTACAAAGATTATCAATTTTTTAAAAATTGCTATTATTCGAATCTATGATAAAATATGAAAAATACATTATTTAATGTTTTAGGATCACCCATATATAAAAATTTTATTGAATAATACCATGATTTTAGTAGGCATGAAGATTTTCGTCACATGGTGACTTGATGCGTTAGTAGCGATGCATGGTCTACTAAATTCGACAGGAAGTAGGCTGAGACTCTGATTTTGATTGCTTGACATTGCACAGTGGTATTACCACAATTGTAAGAAGGAAAAAAAACTATTCCTTTCCAATATAAGAAAGGAACTAAAGTTTTCGTTTGGGTCTCGAGCCTATAGCAACTCGGCACTGATGAGTTCCACAAGAACGAAACGCGTCTGTCGATGCTGGCATGAGATCCGAACGAAATTAAACAAAAGCGGTGATAAGAGAAATGCTTGCAGAATATTTAATTAATATATATATCTAGCGAGTTTGTCGCAAAGTTTTAATACTTTTAATACAATAACTATAAAAAAAATATTGTTGAACAACAAGATAATTTTTGTTCCAAAATTGATTGATTAATCAAAATATCGACAAGATCTGATCAATATTGTCACTAAAAGAACTATAGCCTCTTCGTATTGAAGAGTTTTGACCACAATTTTTTATTTCATTTTAAACCACTGTAAGACTTTTGGTTAATTACCGAATTAGCTGAAGGATTCACATCACTATTCAATTGTTTTTTGGGTCCTATCACGTTTTACTTTCAATTGTTTTTGTGAAACAAAAGTAAAATTTAAATATGGGTGATTCTACAAAAGTTGGACAACTTGATGTCATCAACTCCTGAATCAAATATTTAAGTGATTTTATTTTAAAATATATTCAATTTATCTTAAATTTTTCAATTTCACCACAAACTATAAAACATTAAATAATGTATTTTTCATATTTTATCATACATTCGAATAATAGCAAATTTAAAAAAAAAGTTAACTTTGTACTCACTTTTACCCGTCAGTTCTGTGTCCAATGTTAAAATTCAAAATTCCTGCGAAATATTGAAGTTTAAACGTCAAGTCCTCGTTTTAACTCAAGTGTTGGTAAAAAATTACCTACAGAGCCCGCCCTTTGCACGACAGTCATCTTGAAAACAATGCAAGCGGCGAAGTTGTGGTGAATGCACGTATATGTGATTTGTTGATAAGTAGCATCCACTAATAAAAAATATCAGTAAAATACTTAATTCCGAATTATAATCTCAAATTTGTATCCCATTCATCAGTACCGTGTCGTCAGTTCCATGTTCAATGTTTCGGTTATCTTTTTTTCGCAAACTTCAATTTAAATTCTGCTTGCGCAGAACTTGTTTATTTAATGTCATTATAAACTCATATAAATTTGGTGTGGGTCCCATATCTAATTATTGAGATATCGGTATACCCAAAATCCACCAGCCGCCACTGATGTGTAGTATTATTAGATTTTAAGATATTTAATGTATAATTTGCTCAAAGTTGCAATAAATCTTATATTTTCCAATAAATTATGTATTTAATTAGTACCCTGGTAGACTCGTCACTTCCCTTGCATTCAAATTTAGAAAACACAGATATTTCAGAATGTTCTCATAACAAAATACTGTTTAACACCCTGTATATATATTTTATTAAATTAATTTTTTTGTTTCAGAACTAGCAGTTATTGATCATATAAAAACAAGGTAAGCATATTAACACGCCACAAATTTTGACAGTAGTGTTTTTTTTACTACTACCGCCGTATCTTTGTTTCTGTGTAAACTTATTGACATAACCTCGTACTTACAGCGTTTGTAACGTATAGCATGATCATCTAGTGGTCGTTGTCTTGGTCTTTAAGTTGTTTGTTGTCGATATATCTAGTAGGTACCTATGTGCTTATGGGATATGAGAGAGAACTCGCTTAACTCTCTTTTGAATGGAATATTTCTCTCTAAGTTAATGTTAACTGTTATTTATTTTTATTAGCTATAGACATGAGAACTTGAAAATTCTTATCTATACAGAGTTATTTATAAAGATCATAAATACTAAAAATATAATTATAGACATATACCCTGATAGCACACTTTATTCTAAGAATGTTTTTTAAACCTTCCAGAGAAAATATTCTTAGGATCATGCTATATTTAGTTCAGTTACCTATATAATAGTAAAATATACCATAAACTACGTATAAAGGTATATACCTATACTTAAGTACCTAATTAGTAATTAGTATTAAATACTAAGTAAAAAACACAATCCAAAATATTTTTTTATAGTTATTTGTCAAATTAAAACAAAATTCGATAACAAAAATACTTTTACTATAGGTATTTTATTTTATGTTAAAAATAAATATTTATTAATTTGTATACCGATTTTTTATTTCTGAATTAACATTTTTATGTATAATAATCCTAACTATCTTCAACTTCAATCTAATCTGACTTATCCCACAAAATTTACAATTTTACTTTTTATGAAATAATGTCATACAACTTATGGTTTAGAGGTCAAATTGTTTATTTAATATTTTTAAATAAATATATATTAATATGTCGCAAAATTTTTTAAGGGGACGACAAATACATTCCACTGTAATATTATGACAGTGAGGCGTATTTGTCGTCTCCTGAATAATTTTACGAATGTAGAATACAACATATTAGAACGTGGGTATCTGACATATTTGGAAATATTCTCAAAAGTTTCCTAGAAGCTCCATAAGAAACCTTCTAAGAACATTCCAAAAACGTATTCTTAAAATGTTCTTAGGATGCTTTTTAGGAAGGTTTTAAGAAGCTTTTAAGAATCTAATTGCATCATTAAAAGGGTATCTATTGAATGTTTTAAAAGTCCCTAAGAACATTCTTAGCAATAAGGAAGGTTCTAAGAATATTCCATTATTCCGGGTCATATCTTCTTAGAAGATTCTTAAAATCAAATTTTTTGTGATATATTAGTAGGTAAATAGGGTTTTTTCAATAATTTCATTTATTGAAAATGAAAGTAGATTGTTTGCCCTTTCACAATGAAAGTTAATTATGTAAAATAAAACGCGTTGATATTAAAAACTTTGTTAATGAATTCATAAATAAATTATACCAATTTATTTGATCGACATTTAGATACCACTGGAAATTAATAAAGACTGCTTTGGTGGATTATACATTCTCTTCTTTTAATTACCTGGGGCTAGCGAAAATAAATCAAAGAAATGATCCAAATATTTTGATTTAGTAAATCTACAAGTTTACATAGAGAAAGTCGAGTGGAGTAAAATCGCTACTTCTTGCTGGCCAATTTACTTCTACACATTTATCAAGCCGAAATCGTAGCTACAGGACTTTTTCGTTGCTTTCTTTAACCACTTCTTGAAAGTCTTTTTATACACTGAGAGATTTAGATAAATAGATATCTATTTGTTTGAGGATATTACAATGTTAGCTTAAATCAAGAGCAAGCGATTTCTTGGTATAAGAACCAAAAATATTTCTTCATTCAAAAGCGCAAATCTTTTGAATCAAAGTGATTTTCATTTCTTTTAACAGATTATTTTGTTCAGTGTAGAAGGTTTGAAATGGTTTTTCACGATGTAACGTTCATGATTTATTTGTTTGATCTGGCGAGGAATGCACCAGTTGCATAATCCATTATTGTTACGGTTCATTCAGCATTACCATCAGCAGCAGCAGTAACAACAGCGATAGCAACAACCACCTGAGCTGAGACATCAAGGCAGCGGTGGAATACTTGAGAAAAGAGAAAGGCGTGCCTGTTACTTGGCTCCGGCACCTTCATACGTTCAGTTTCAACAACATTCATTCATTTTTTTTATACGAGGTGGAATCACAAAGATGCTCTTCCTCCATTCCTTAATTCCTTCCACGATACCTCTTAACCCTTCAGTAACACCCGGTATATTTTTACATATTCAAATAGTAAATTAAACAACCTTTCGATTGGTATGACTATTCCCTATACCTAAAGTTCATAATTTCAGAGATATTTAACAAAAACAGAAATAAAAATTATTTGCTGTTAGGTTCAAAAGCTTTTTGTGATAAATCTAGTAGTTCATTTTCCTGTCTTTGAAAATTGCATATCAGAAGCTACCCTGATAGCAAAATTTGATTTTAAGAATCTTCCAAGAAGATATGATTCGGAGTAATGGAATATTCTTAGAACCTTCCCTTATTGCTAAGAATGTTCTTAGGGACTTTTAAAACAATAGATACCCTTTTAATGATGCAATTAGATTCTTAAAAGCTTCTTAAAACCTTCCTAAAAAGCATCCTAAGAACATTTTAAGAATACGTTTTTGGAATGTTCTTAGAAGGTTTCTTATGGAGCTTCTAGGAAACTTTTGAGAATATTTCCAAATATGTCAGATACCCACGTTCTAATATGTTTTATTCTACATTCGTGAAATTCTTCAGGAGACGACAAATACGCCTCACTGTCATAATATTACAGTGAAATGTATTTGTCGTCCCCTTAAAAAAATTTGCGACATATTAATATATATTTATTTAAAAATATTAAATAAACAATTTGACCTCTAAACCATAAGTTGTATGACATTATTTCATAAAAAGTAAAATTGGAAAATTTTGTGGGATAAGTCAGATTAGATTGAAGTTGAAGATAGTTAGGATTATTATACATAAAAATGTTAATTCAGAAATAAAAAATCGGTATAGGTACAAATTAATAAATATTTATTTTTAACATAAAATAAAATACCTATAGTAAAAGTATTTTTGTTATCGGATATTGTTTTAATTTGACAAACAACTATAAAAAAATATTTTGGATTGTGTTTTTTACTTAGTATTTAATACTAATTACTAATTAGGTACTTAAGTATAGGTATATACCTTTATACGTAGTTTATGGTATATTTTACTTTTATATAGGTAACTGAACTAAATATGCTTAACAGGAATATTCCTAAATGAACTTTCTATAGCAATTACTTTCTTAAAATTCTAAGCATATGTTTAGAGTAGACTAATTTTTACCACTAAAACTTTGCACCTTCTAAGAATCTGCCTATAGGCCAGTAAGAATATTCTTAGGATCATGCAATATGTCTTTTAAGCATGTTCTTTAGAAGAAATATAGCATGATCCTAAGAATATTCTCACTGAAAGTTTTAAAAAACATTCTTAGAATAACTAAATGGATATTATAGGAATTGAAAAGGTTAGCATAATAGATAAATTCCTTTGGAAAACTATATAATATTATTATGGCATGCGGTTGCTACAGTAATTAAAGCCTCTATTAATAAATTACATTACGTAATTGTAATATTAAATTGTACAGTTAACTGTATTATGAATATACTATGAGATTTTATTGTATTCGTTTACCTACGCATTTTATCACTACATGAGGTCTCGTTTCTTCTGATGTTTTTTTAAGAAGTGGCCGCCTAGATAACACGATTTGACGCTGTTGGATTATTTATTATTTGTTATGGTTTTTTAGATATAAAGAGTGGATTTTTATAGCATGTGTTAATTTCTGAATACATTAACAAAAATTAGTGCCTTGACATTTAGCTCATCCATTAATAATTTATTTTTAATCATTAAACATAGGAAGCACGTTTTTATGGTATCGACTTTAACTTAATTATATTATAATATCTGCAAGATTTTGATTTAAATTTTTGATAACGTAGTATTATTATAATTAATTACATAGGTATGTAAAATTATATTTTCTAAATAGGTAACCTTTACACTTTGCTTAATTTAAGAATAAGTATTTTTTGATACAAATGTTATGCAATAATTGTTTCAAATATTGTCTATTCTATTTTTAACTCTTGCTTGACTTTAAATAAAGGCTAGGATATAATGACCATGTTTGTTTCAAAAGGTAAAGAGTTGATTATGCTATCTCTTTTTTTCCAAGACTGATAGAGAAAAATATATAGGATAATCAACTCTTTACCATTTAAAATAAACATGGTCATTATATCCTAACCTTTAAATTCGAGCCCAACTTAAAAAAAGAATAGACAATATTTGAAACAATTAACTTAACCTGAAAAAAATGATATTGGTCTTTACAATGTTTCAAATAATATATTCTGCAATGATTTTTTCAAACCTTCAGACACGTTGATTTTGAGACGGACATTTTTGGCTATATTGGCCAATTTTCTAATATATATTTTTAAGAATAGGCCAGTCGTACCAATATTTACTAATCTTAGAATAAATATAATTATATTTATATTCAGTATAGTTTTATATCTTTAAGAACAGAATAGAGGGAATTTTCCAAAATTTGGTCTAATCGATTGTTAATCTTAAGATTATTTCATTTAAAGTCTTTCTTAACATTTAACAGGCAAGAACAAGATCTGCTTGTTTAAAGAAAGATTAATATTTAGTTTTCCGTGTAATTTCTTCTTTGTAGCTAATTTGCCCCGACCCATGGCATTATGTGATGGCCGCCGCAAATCAAAACGTGCAAAATAAAAAATGAACGTCCAAGTGCTACCAACCTTCAAACAATTAAAGTTCGTGGACTGTGTACCGGTACTTGTGGAGAAAAAATTGCAAAACAAAAGAGGAAGTGAATCGCTAAATAAAAAACAAAAGATGTGCATCTCAGTTAAACGGTCAAGGAATCTTGTAATTGTTAATTATTAGGAAATTAATATTCATCGGATGTTTTCTAGATTGTTATTAATTTTAATTTTTAGATTAAGTCAATTATTGTTTTTAATTGAATTAATTTTGAAAGTAGCAAAATTAAAATTTGTGTTAAAGAAGAAGAAGAAGAAGAATATTATAAAAAAGTTTTAGAAACCATATTTTAGCATAAAAATTATTGCCTGAAGAAAAAAGTTCTTAGTAGAAGAAGTATAGTTCTCTTGAAAACAAATACAAAATCTCTTGAACGTTTCTTTTTAAAAAATGGGATTTTAACAAGAAAACTGCATCTCTTAATTGAAAAGCTTAGGAACTTTCTAAGAAAGAAATTTGTCTTGCTACAATATGACAGTGAAATGTATTTGTCGTCCCCTTAAAAAATTTTGCGACATATTAATATATATTTATTTAAAAATATTAAATAAACAATTTGACCTCTAAACCATAAGTTGTATGACATTATTTCATAAAAAGTAAAATTGGAAAATTTTGTGGGATAAGTCAGATTAGATTGAAGTTGAAGATAGTTAGGATTATTATACATAAAAATGTTAATTCAGAAATAAAAAAATCGGTGTACAAATTAATAAATATTTATTTTTAACAAAAAATAAAATAACTATAGTAAAAGTATTTTTGTTATCGAATATTGTTTTAATTTGACAAATAACTATAAAAAAATATTTTTGATTGTGTTTTTTACTTAGTATTTAATACTAATTACTAATTAGGTACTTAAGTATAGGTATATACCTTTATACGTAGTTTATGGTATATTTTACTATTATATAGGTAACTGAACTAAATATGCTTAACAGGAATATTCCTAAATGTCTTTTAAGCATGTTCTTTAGAAGAAATATAGCATGATCCTAAGAATATTCTCACTGGAAGGTTTAAAAATCATTCTTAGAATAAGTACCAGATTTTGTTGTAAAATTGACATGCTATTGGGATAATTGTGATGTATCTTGAATGAATTGCGTAAATATAAATAATTTTCACTTGTTGAAAGAAGAAACATTCAAGAGATTTTGTATTTGTTTTCAAGAGAACTATACTTTTTCCACTAAGAACTTTTTTTATCAAGCAATAAATAATAAAAACAATAATTTGCAGTACTTGGTGCAAATCTAAGCGTTTTTATCGCGCTTGAATCGCAAAATGTATTAAAAATATCGTGAGTCAGGACCAATTAAGTTGAAGCATTACATGCCTCTCTTACTTGCTTACTTCCTGTCTACAGCTAGTTAAAATTATTATTAAATATTGTTTTTATATGTTAAAGTAAATTATTTATAATATTTGTTGTCGGGCAACTTATACAGCTGTAAGGCGTATTTTCTTGAAAGAGAATATTATTAAAATTCACATTTAATGTAGTAACAGTCATAACCACTAAATTAACCCTGATAGCAAACTTTATTCTAAGAATGTTTTTTAAACCTTCCAGTGAGAATATTCTTAGGATCATGCTGTATTTCTTCTAAAGAACATGCTTAAAAGACAAAAAGCATGATCCTAAGAATATTCTTACTGGCCTATAGACAGGTTCTTAGAAGGTGCAAAGTTTTAGTGGTAAAAATTAGTCTACTCTAAACATATGCTTAGAATGTTAAGAAAGTAATTGCTATAGAAAGTTCATTTAGGAATATTCCTGTTAAGCATATTTAGTTCAGTTACCTAAATAATAGTAAAATATACCATAAACTACGTATAAAGGTATATACCTATACTTAAGTACCTAAATAGTAATTAGTATTAAATACTAAGTAAAAAACACAATCCAAAATATTTTTTTATAGTTATTTGTCAAATTATAACAATATTCGATAACAAAAATACTTTTACTATAGGTATTTTATTTTATGTTAAAAATAAATATTTATTAATTTGTATACCGATTTTTTATTTCTGAATTAACATTTTTATGTATAATAATCCTAACTATCTTCAACTTCAATCTAATTTGACTTATCCCACAAAATTTTCCAATTTTACTTTTTATGAAATAATGTCATACAACTTATGATTTAGAGGTCAAATTGTTTATTTAATATTTTTAAATAAATATATATTAATATGTCGCAAAATTTTTTAAGGGGACGACAAATACATTTCACTGTCATATTATGACGGTGAGGCGTATTTGTCGTCTCCTGAAGAATTTTACGAATGTAGAATACAACGTATTAGAACGTCTGACATATTTGGAAATATTCTCAAAAGCTTCCTAGAAGCTCCATAAAAACATTCCAAAAACGTATTCTTAAAATGTTCTTAGGATGCTTTTTAGGAACGTTTTAAGAATCTAATTGCATCATTAAAAGGGTATCTATTGAATGTTTTAAAAGTCCCTAAGAACATTCTTAGCAATGAGGGAAGGTTCTAAGAATATTCCATTATTCAGGGTCATATCTTCTTAGAAGATTCTTTAAATCAAATTTTGCTAACAGGGTTTTTTCCTTGTATAAAACTAATTAAACAAATTAGACGTTACATCGTCTTACGCAACTTTATTTAAATTTTACAAATTCATCCTCATAATTCAATATAATCCTCTATTTGTATAGCTATAGATAAAATCTCTCCTAATCTTCTTAATTCCCACGTTTCATTATAATAGAGAAAAAAACAAAACTCATTTTACTTCTTCTGTTTGATAAGATTGTATAGGATGGCAATAGAATTACTTTCTACAATGGTTTTTTCTCAAATTAATGTCTATAGGAGGAACTAATTTTCACTTTCTTTAAATTGGTCGTTTATAAGGTCATTTAAGTGGCCATTAGTTTAATGAAAAATAATTTTCATAGCTTTTGAACAAAAACACTTTTCACTTAGTTGAAAGAAAAAACATTCAAGAGATTTAGTATTTTTTTTTCAAGAGAACTACACTTTTATTTCCAAAGGTGCTGTTTGGTTAGATAGTCTAAGATACAAACTGCTTTCTATTGAAGTTTTTTTCTCAAATACCTATCGAGATAATTTCAAAATTTCACTTTCTTTCTTGCCTTCTAACGCATGCAAATGAATGTTTAAATAAATACTTAATCGATATAATTATGGTTTTTAATTTTCACCGAAAAACAAAAAGAGATACCATTACGAAAAAACAACCAAACTGTTTATGTGAAAAGGAGAGCTGAAATTAATGACATCAGCCATGCCCAATTAAAGATTGTCTATCTTAAGTATACAGATATTTATTTATTAACACTTTCTGATTTTGGATAATACCTACATGTTTATATATACGGATCTATCACTATAGATATATCTATCAATCACAATATACTTAGGGTCCAGCAAGATATATATATATATATTAATTCTGATAGAGATCAATTTGTCGTTGATAAGTGTAAAGGTAGTTTTTCAAGATCAAATTTGAAACATTGACACCGATTTTTATAAATATCCAATTATTTTTATATCCGCCAATAAAAAATGAATATTTATACAAGATAGCCTGTGGTTATATCATAATGACCATGTTTGTTTCAAAAGGTAAAGAATGGATTATGCTATTTTTTTCTAAGACTTATAGAGAAAAATAGATAGGATAATCCACTATTTACCTTAAAATAAACATGGTCATTATATCCTAACCTTTAAAGCCGAGCAAAAGTTAAAAAAAGAATAGACAATATTTGGAACAATTATTGCCTTACTTAACCTGAAAAAATGATATTGGTCTATAGCATTGTCTTTATAATCAGTGGCGGCCCGTGACATTTCATTTTGGTGAGGCAGAGGCAGGGTTTTGCCCTCATTTAAGGGCAAAAAATTTTTTTTAAACCCAACTTAAAAAACTGACGTCGCAGTTCACTAACTAAGTAAAAAACTTAGACTGTGGTGGGGAAGGAATCCTCTACTTTGTCAATGAAATATATTTTATTGTAAAAATGACGTTTATTTTAAATAAACCTCATTTTTGTCTAATTAATATTTCATTGTTCAGCAAGAACCACGTGAAGGTCAACAATATCGGGACAATTGCTCACCGTAATATCCATAATGACTAAATTCACATAAATCACCAAGTTCAATTAACTAAACCCACAGAATAAACCACTTACAAAAGAGTCATAAAATAGACAAACTCATAGAAAAAGAATAAACAAAATATTGCGTAAATAACCACAGATTTGTTCTTTAAACAGTTCAGAATTTTATAACCAAAACAAACCTAAAGAAGGAATCTGTATTTATTTTATTGGTTGCTGTGATGGCTACAAGATGGCCATAGTGTTAAAATATGTTAATTTTAGAATAGAAATATAATTTCGATTAAATCGATTTATTATAAGAAAAATAATACCATTTAATATTGAATTTTGAAAAACGTGTGAAGTATAATTTATCTAAAATTCCGCAACAGTGTTGCCACAACACCTGCTTGTTTCCTTGGATGTAGGCGTGCCTGCCTCGCGTATGCTAATACGAGAGAAGGAGACAACTATGATATCGCATTGTAATAGAACGAGACAACAAGGCTAACGCCAATCGTGAGTCTAAATTGGTTCAGGCATGCTTCTGAGCCAATCATCTAGCTATAAATATTAGTTTAAATTGAGGTTGTTTCAAATTCAAATAATCTTTAAACTGTACTTGATAAAAATCTAACAAACTTTTTTTTTTTACAGAATAATATGATCAACCACTATGGCTATCGCAACCCTATTACTTAGAGAAGAATCGACAACGTCGCTTTCGTCTATAGCGGAAAAATCCCAAAGCAAAAAACCTCCCTTTTTGGAGTACGAGCTGAACCTCAACGACCACCATTTGGAGCTAATCCTAACCTCAAACAGCGAACGCATTCTAAAATCCACATCGAGTGATGAAGGTTTCGAGAGTGACATCGACAGCCTTTCGATTGTTTCCAGTGATGACAGTTTTACGAACGTGACGGCTGTCAAAAGCGAAATTGACAGCGCGAATGGGGGTAGCAGTAGCGAGTCCGATACCGATAGTAAAAACGACGGAACGGTTTTGAGGCTGACCAATGCGTGCAAAGAGAGTTACAACCTAGTCAACATTTTGTGTTACACCGATGTCAAGTACCCGGATATTTTAGTTTTTGTTATTAGGAATGTTACGTATGTGTTTAGGTTTGCCACGTTGGCGAAACTGCAAAATTTTTATGCTAACTTCACCGCGGTTAAGGCAGTAGCAAACCAGAAAGCGTACAACAAGAATTTCCCTGCTAAGTTTAACTTGTTGCAAAGGACTGATAACAACGGAATAACCCATATAGAAATCACCAAGTCGAATGAAGGTCCAAGTAGTATAATAAGCATCAATACTCCAGAAGATAGATTGCAACTACAGAACAATAGCTCTGGAAGAGTGAAGGATGTCAATACAAGACAGCGTCAAGAGAGTAGAGTGTTGGAACTGGAAAAAAGCTCTTCATCTGATAACATTCTAAAACAAAACCTAGTCAAAACAAAAGACGACACACTAAGAAAGGTATGGGGATCTGCCGATGACCTTCTGGACACCCCTAAAAGGCCTGAGAGACGTAGAAAGATGAAAGGAAAGGCACCGTTACCACCTACTCAAAAAACCACCTTGGAGAATCAAAGCATATACAGTGGTCAATTTGTGAGAGTTAATGTCAATTTTGACGTTCTTAAGGACGACAAAAACCGTCTTGTTATCAAGAGCACTTGTGATGAACCTCACCCGAAAAAACTGCAGAACTTTAAACCGACCCTTTCCAACTTTTTGAGGGCAAAACCAGAACCCAAAGTTGTACCAGACAGCTCTTGGACCAACTCAGTACCAAGGCTTCTAAAGAAGCCCAAAAGCAAATCCGACACACGGCAATTCATCCCAATGGCGTACAGATACATAGATACCACCCAAAACTACCCCACTTCGTACACTATCCCCAAAAACTATCCTCAATACCCCTATGCATCAGGATTTTCATCCATTGGACGAAAATCATCCAACTCGCTCAACCTAAATAATCGCCTCTTCGGTTTGTCCTCAAAATTGAGGGACTTCTCCGGTCACGAGGTTAGAAACGAGGAGAAATGGTCGACCAGTGAATCAGCCACCAACACCAACCTCAAGAGTGTGATCAAGAAGGAAGACACCAAGAAGAAGAATGACAAAAAAGTTACGTTCAGTGCTTACACTACAGTCCAAGTCGTATAATACAGGGTGTTCTAAAACCATACACCTGTATACAGGGTGTTATGTAATTAATGTTATATATTAAAATACTGAATACCTTTTGACATAAAAGAATAAAGGAAAAATATTTAAAAAAACATTTTTCCAAAGATAAAGGAAAAATTAGGATTAGAAGTTATTTATATTTTTTGTGATACGCCACTGGTTACACACTTGTTTATCTCTGCACACCAGTATTTTGTGAGTACATAGATACCAACCAACAAAGTAGCTATGCGTTGCCAGATGTAAAAAATTGTTACTAAAAATTTTTCTTGGAAAAAATAAATAAAAACTCAATAAATATGTACAAAAGTTTTATGCCCTTAACCCTTTCAATACGACTTTTCGGAAATTAATTTAAAACTTTTTTATTAGTGTTAAAACTATATTTAGGTTAAAAATAGTTAATTGACTGAATAACAGATTTTTAACTTTGGTGGTATTTGAAAAAAAGGCCTGGGACAGATTTATCCCTGCAGTAATATGCCCTGGGATATATTTATCCCCACACTAAAGAAATTCTACTATTTTTGAAAATGTTTATTATCAAAAAACACTGATGGGATAAAACTATCCCCTGTCATATTACTGCAGGGATATTTTTGTCCCAACGTATATTTTGAGGAATGAGTTGTGACGTACAATGCACATAAAGTATCACAAAAATTCAAGCAAAATTTACACAAAAACTGCACAAAATAGGTTATGTGACTGGTCTTTTTCAATTTAGAGCGTGCAATGGCCGAAAAACAGCTGGTTATTGTTCACATGACGTTAAATAAATTAAGTTTTTATTACTGATATCCCAAGTCAAGACATAGAAATACTAAATTGTCCCGACCCTGTTTTATTTAAACGCACTTAATTAAGTAGAGACATTTTTTAATTTTCTTTGGGACGTATATATCCCCGCAGTATTGAAAGGGTTAAAGCTCTAATACCCTTCTGTATTTATTTACTGATCCAGCTATTAGCTTAAGCAATGATTAGAAAATTTAGTACCTTTGAAATTTGAAATCCATAACCACAAAATTAATTTTTTCATCAGTTTTTTTCTCTGTTTACTCAGGTGAAATTGGGACCAGTTTACAGGTTAAACTTTAAACATTTAATTTGTGTAAATAAATCCAAAAGCACTTCCCTTAGTTAAGATATTTACAATTTGAAAACATAACCTAAAATTTAAAAGAAATGCACTAGATTCTGTTATAAAAGTTGGCAGATTTTGTTTGAATTTACCTTCAGTACAAAAATGAAATAACCAACAATTAATAAAAACGCCAAATTGACAATTTGCATTGTTAATTTTGTCATTTTTGTAATTAAGCTAAATTTAAACAATGTTTGTCAACTTTTTTTAGAGATTTTGGAAACACTGGTTACCAACCATAACATAATAAATCCACCAGATTAACCTAGTTCCTAGTCGATCAGTGGAGGAACAACCCATTTTAATATATAACATTAATTACATAACACCCTGTATATTAATTATTTTTAATTTAACTTTTGATGATTTTATGCTTTTTCGTCTAAAAAGTAACGTTTCAAAATCACCTTAAACCAAAAATTTCCGAATTTCATGTTTTCTCTGACGAAAACATGAATTTTGCACTTTCCATTTCAAACTAACCAAATTGTCATTATTTTTGATGATTGCAAATATTCAAATATTTTTGTAAAATATTTTATGTTAACTTTCAGGCAGTGTTGCCAATTTTACTGAACTTTTAGTCTTAAGCTATTTTTTGGCAACACTGTGTATATGTATATTCTTTTATGTATTTAGTGTTGTACATATGTAACTTTATATTTTAATAAATGTGTATAGTAATAATATATTTTATTTATATTTTCCTAAGCTAAAAAATGATTTTATAAAAAAATATTTATAAAAAAAAATCTTCACGGTGGATAGGTTTTTAAATAGCAAATTAATGAACTTAAACTTTTGAATTATAAAACAGCAACACTCTCATCTGCATATAAATCCTAACTGACCTTCAGGAATCACATGCATCTATAATGTCGTAAACAGAGGTTTTTGCTTATTAAAATGATTAAAGCGCCATCCGTTGCATAAAACTTAAAGCAAAAACAGGTTCACGGAGGATAGAATCAATATGCTTTTACTACCTCAGATATTTGAAAACATGTAGGTTAACCTAGAAAAAATAACAGTCACGGAGGATAGGTTTTAGACTTTTAAAACGTAATTAAAAAATAATTAATTTCGGTTAAAAATCTGGAACCTGAGCTGTAATATCTACTTAATTCGAAGTTTATAAACTTCTCTAGACACTCGTTTTTACTAAACACTCGCTCGCAAGCATCATTTCACTATTCAGTGTGATTTGAAGTAATCGAGTTTTAAATTGGAAAAAAGAGACTATAATATTAAAATTGATAAAAAGTAGGGTTAACCATTTGACAGATGTCAAATTTTATTTCATTAGTAAAAAATAGAAAAGGTGTGTATGTATAGATGTTTATTTGTTTTTTTACCACTTCACACTAATTATTCTATTTGCCAAAATTTTGAATTATGATTTTTATTGCGATTTGCCTAATGTCAACTTAACCTCAATTGTCAATTCACTTAAAACATTTGTTTACTTCTACGACACACTTAAGATATCTGCAAGAGAAAGTTAATTTACACCAGTATCTTACATCCGCCACTCATTCACTCTTGTGTTTTTTTAGAATAATTTAAAATTTTTATATTAATGGTTTCTGAGTTTCTTAAAGAAACAAATAAATGAAGAAGGCAATTCCGCTATGCGTGGAAAGTAGATTGTTGTGAGAAAATTTTAATGCATGTAGATAAAAAAAAGTTAAGTGGCCAGCCCAATACCCAGACCTTACACCCTTGGATTTTTTTTCTGTGGTGGTAACTTAAAAATAAAGTTTTCAACCACTAGATGACTCACTTAAAAAATAAAAACCTTCTCTGCAAAGATAGACACGTAATTGTGTCAAATTACGAGTGTAATTGACATAGTTTTACGTAATTTAAAGTAAAACAAAACCATGTATTTCGTCAGTAGAATAAAAATAAAAATAATTGTATACCTACGCTGACCAATTAGGAAAGTCTGTAACATCATACGCATACACAGTGTGTGTATTACACACTGATCAGTTGCAATTTTGGATTATAACTATACTTACCTACTTTACACTTTTGCAATATTCGCTCTTGGTTATACAATATTATACAAATAGACAGCCCCTGTATTTTCCACTGAAGAATGTTCTAAAAACAACAAATTTCTTCGTAATAAAAGCCTTACAAAGTATCTTTATCAAACTACTTAACTCATTTAGGTATAAATAATAAGTTTAATTAAAATATATATCCATTTGATCTAATGCCTGATTGGTTGAGTCAGCTTCTTAGGAATGTGGATGATGGCCTATCTTCAATCAAATCCCAGTAGGTATTTATTTTATATTTTACACAAAATTACGATTTTTTAAACATTAAAATTAAAATACCTAATAGGTACGATGACCATCATTAAAAATCATTCGAAGATTTCTCATATTTTATTTATTTCTTGTGTACGTTTAACCTTTCAGATTGTTTTTAAGGTTGAGGTCACACAATGGACATAATGAGGTCTTCTGGTTAATATAGGTAAAGTAAATATAGGTATATGAGGTCAACTAGATGTCATATTCAATGTACTTCCTGGTTTGTGATTTTTTTATTAATTGTTAAATAAGTGTTTATTTATTGTAAATAAACACATTAATTTCAGCAAATAAAACCTTGTTTTGTCTAGTTTCAAACAATTTTTATACCAACATTGTATCTTTGATAGTTCTTAAGATTTTCGATAAAATGTAGAACCTTGCCATTTTTCTTTAACATTTTTCACCTTTTAGCAACTTTTTTATTCGTTATTCGATTTTAAAGAGTGACATGTCAAATTAAACCTTGTTTCATCTACTTTCAAACAGTTTCAACACCAAAACTGTATCATTGATAGTTTTTATGATTTTTAGGTAAATGTAGAACCTTGTCAGAATTGAATTTAATGCTAAATTGTTTGAGTAATAAATGTTTTTAATAAATACCTTGTAAAAATACATAAAAATGTACGCGTATTTGTCTAAATATTCATGTTAACTGTTGAAACACAACATAATTCAAAATTATACAGATAACATAGCCTACGTTGATTCATTGTAATTACGTATATGGCTAAATTTATGTATAAGGGGATATAGCTCAGTGGTAGAGCGTTCGCTTTGCATGTGAAAGGCCCCGGGTTCGATCCCCGGTATCTCCAATAACTTTTTTTAATTTTTTTTATTACTATTACACAATAAAATTTTAATTTTTAACATTTACCATTTTTTTCTAATCCTTATCTAATTAATTTACTAAATTAAAATTATCAGTTTGGCATAAATATTTAATTTAATATTTATATATGGATGATTTACAAAAGATCCAGGTTTTTTTAACTTGTCCACCCAATTTTAATGTAATTTTTCAAAAGCACGTTTGTAGAAAAACATAATAAATATTCAAAACATCAGTACCTTGGCGTGTCACAACTCCTGAATCAAATGTTTGAGTGATTTTATTTTAAAATATATTCAATTTATCTTAAATTTTTCAACTTCACTACAAACTATAAAACATTAAATAATGCATTTTTCATATTTTATCATAGATTCGAATAATAGCAATTTTTAAAAAATTGATAATCTTTGTAGGTACTAATTAGTTAACTTTTACCCGTCAGTTCTGTCTCCAATGTTAAAATTCAAAATTCCTGCGAAATATTGAAGTTTAAACGTCAAGTCCTCGTTTAACTCAAGTGTTGGTAAAAAATTACCTACAGAGCCCGCCCTTTGCACGACAGTCATCTTGAAAACAATGCAAGCGGCGAAGTTGTGGTGAATGCACGTATAGTTCCAGTCAAAATTTCAGTACTGTGGTGAGTAGTTATTTTCTTACGTAATACGTAAGAAAATAACTACTCACCACAGTACTGAAATTTTGACTGGAACTATACGTGCATTCACCACAACTACGTAATACGTATATATATTTTATTGTAATTTATATAAGGCTATATGAGATTTGTTGATAGGTAGCATCCACTAATAAAAAATATCAGTAAAATACTTAATTACGAATTATAATATAATTATATAATTATAAATAAAATTGTATAACTACAATTCTTAATTATTCCAAAAAATGGTCAATTTAGAAACTCATTTATTGAATAGGGTTCTTTTTCTAAAATGTAATTAAAAATAAGTTTTTTAAAAGATATTGATTTAATGTTTGCAGATATGATATTTTTTATCTTATTGAATAAATACAAAATAAAACAGGTTAAAGTTAAGAAACCAACGTTAAAGGAAATCATTACTTCGCCCACTATGAGCAGGGCAACGAAATTACGTATTCCCTGTGGTGTTGAATAAATAATTTTATCATGTACGTCGTTTGCTCTCTATGCGGCTGCGCGCGGTCTATCCGCCAGGCCCGTACTCAAAAATTGTACTAAACGCTATATTCTACGAGCGATGCATCGCGATGCAGCAAATATTGATTAATATACGATTTTGATAACGATTACGAATTTACATCAAACGGTGGTTTTGTTTTTTTACTATTGCTATCAACTTTGTTATTATTGAAGCTACAAAGTCGGTTAAATTAAAAAAAATGTGTCATTTTGTCTTCTGAATATTTTTACATATTTTAAGAGACAAATTATTTGTTCAAAACATTATTCTCTTTCCGATCGCCAGGGGACTGTAAAATTGTCCTGAGTTGAGATATTTCTCTTTTAAATTAAGAAAACGTTTTTTTAGCTCAAAAATGGGATTTTAACAAGAAAACTGAAAAGTGCCTTTCTTGTAAAATAATACTAAATGTGAAAATTATTTTGTTATCTCAATACAAAAATACAAAAGTATTAAATAGTTTCTCAACGCCAATATTTGAAAAGTTTATATGAACATTTTAATCTTAAATTCGGGCACTGCAAAGTGCTCATAAAACATTTTCTTTACTTTCACTGTGAAAAACTGACAATTTTCAAGAAATACATTTCGATTTATAACCTTTATAATTGTGTTTATAAACTATAAAAATGTGACATTTAACGGTGACACACAGTTTCCCCTGTTGTTTCATAGATGGCGCTCAGTACAAATTTTTGATTTTAATCATTTTAAGTATTTGTCATAGAAAAAGTATAGTATGCACATCGTTTATAAAATGGCGTTTATCAAACTTGATACATAATATACTAGTTATGGTAAAATATTGTTTCTTGCCGGTAATAATTTTTTATAATAAAAATTATAAAAAAATAAAAAAACCCAATACGTCCCTGCGTTTTTTCGCCCACACCCCGGCACTGCGCTAGAAAGCTTCACTGGTTTTAGTCTGTAGTTGAATATTTGTTATATGTACATTTGTGTTCTTATTAACAGAGTTTTTTGAGTAGGATATCTACTCAATCTAATCTACAATGAATTGTTACGAAAACGACAATGACGAGGGGGGTAACCCCCCGTTAACCCCCCCTGAAAAGCAAATTATACCGGAAAAATCACGCTCAAAATACATTAACGCTTATAATACTTTCCGGGAATGGCAGCAAAAAAATAACAACGAAATCATATCCGAAAATGTCCTTCTAGAATATTTTTCCGAACAAGCGAAAATATGGAAACCCTCGACCTTATGGGCTCAATATTCAATGACAAGGGCCATGCTAAATGTGAATCAACAAATTGACACCAAACCGTACAAGAAACTGACCGCTTTCCTGAAAAACCAAGCAAAAGGTTTTCAGTCAAAAAAAGCAAAAGTTTTCACGCCTAAAGAGATCAAGAACTTCATAACTGAAGCCCCAGATGATGTATACTTGAGTGCCAAGGTAGGTAACTTTTTTAATTTGAAAAAAAAAAATATATGGGTGATTCTACAAAACTTTTGTTAATATACACGGTGTTATGTAATTAATGTTATATATTAAAATGGGTTGTTCCTTAGGGTCCATAAAGAAGCACCTGAAACTTTTTTTTTCTAAATTCCAAACCTACCAAAAAGTACGCCACTGATCGACTAGGAACTTTAGGTTAATCTGGTGGATTTATTATGTTATGGTTGGTAACAACTGTGTCCAAAATCTTTCAAAAAAGTTGCCAAGCATTGTTTAAATTTAGCTTAATTACAAAAATGACAAAATTAACAATGCAAATTGTCAATTTGGCGTTTTTATTAATTGTTGGTTATTTCATTTTTGTACTGAAGGTAAATTCAAACAAAATCTGCCAACTTTTATGACAGAATCTAGTGCATTTCTTTTAAATTTTAGGTTATGTTTTCAAATTGTAAATATCTTAACTAAGGGAAGTGCTTTTGGATTTATTTACACAAATTAAATGTTTAAAGTTTAACCTGTGAACTGGTCCCAATTTCATCTGAGTAAACAGAGAAAAAAACTGATGAAAAAATTAATTTTGTGGTTATGGATTTCAAATTTCAAAGGTACTAAACTTTCTAATCATTGCTTAAGCTAATAGCTGGATCAGTAAATAAATACAGAATGGTATTAGAGCTTTAAGGGCATACAACTTTTGTATTTATTGAGTTTTTATTTATTTTTTGCAAGAAAAATTTTTAGTAACAATTTTTTACATCTGGCAACGCATAGCTACTTTGTTGGTTGGTATCTATGTACTCACAAAATACAAGTGTGCAGAGATAAACTAAGTGTGTAACCAGTGGCGTATCACAAAAAATATAAAAAACTTCTAATGCATATTTTTTCTTTATCTTTGGAAAAATGTTTTTTTAAATATTTTTCCTTTATTCCTTATGTCAAAAGGTATTCAGTATTTTAATATATAACATTAATTACATAACACCCTGTATATACAGGGTCCCTGTATTACCTTAGTTATTTGCATTTATAAGATGAAACATTTTCACAGGTTATCGCAATTTTTGGGGTGACAGGGGCATGCAGATGCGGTGAATTCCCGGACATACTGTGCGATTATGTGAAACCAAAAGGAGACATTTATCTGGTGGAAATTCCAAAAACGAAAAATTGCGTTCGGAGGTCGTTTACAATTACAAACGAAATGGTGGACATCGTGGGGAAATACGCAGCATTACGCCCTATTAATGTCAAGACCAATCGTTTTTTCCTCAACTACCAAAAAGGCAAATGTACTGTGCAACCTATTGGGATCAACAAGTTTCGAAAAACTCCTCAAACGATTGCCAAGTATTTGCAGCTTGATAACCCGGAACTGTACACTGGGCACAGCTTCCGCAAAACATCCGCATCCATGTTAGTCGATGCTCTTAAGCATTGCTTGGGGAATTCAGAAGAGGGACCAAAAGCAGTGAAATCAGAAGAGATCTCGGACACTGAAATTGAACTCGATAACGCGGAGCAGAACTTCCGCATCACATCCGCAACCGCGTTGGACGATGCAGGAGAAGACTTTACAGAAAAAAAACGTCAAAAATTTGACAACGTAACGGAAGTTAAATTGGAAGACAACGAACTTGAAAATACTTACGAAAGTACCGAGATGAACTATAATTATTCTCACATTAAGATTGAGAAACAGGAATAATTGCAAAAAGAATGTTGCATGTTTTATTTTGGTAATAAATTATTAGGTACTAAGAGTTGTAAATCATTATTTATCCACATATCTTAAACAGTCCCCTGACTTTTAATTAATTTGAAAAGATTTTAATGATTCCAACTCCACTGTGTCCCACCACGTGCCCACGTACGGAACGCAGTCTTTTGAAAATTTGGCATTTATGGCTTTTCAGATTATGTATCTGTAAAAGTATAGTCAACGAAAGAAATAATATTATGTTTAGGCGTTAAAAATGTATAAATCTTTATAACATTAGAATAACAATGAATGGTTTAGGAATTTAAGAAAATAAATACTGCATTTAATGAAATTCTAAAGTGTATGGTGCCAATAAGTAATATTTTTGTGCATTTCAAATATCTGGTTTTCTCCATAAAATAATTTTAACTAAACAGCATTTATTTAAAAAAAATATAGCTTCTCTATTATGGAATAAGAATATCTGTATTAAAGGTAGGTTAATATATTATAACAAAAATATCATCTAATTTTGTAATTTTAAGGTTAGAAAAATTTATTTTGACCAAAATAAAAAAGTATTTTGGATTATTTAAAAGGCTGTATAATATGGTATTAAAAATGTGGTAGTTTTTCTTATCCAGCTTAAAGTGTACCTACATAAAGTTTTGTCAATACAAATAGTAAAAAAGCTTCAACTGAATTTGATCTACATCAAAAAATCATTATAACTTTAAAATTTTTAATAAATCACATGTCATGGGAGTATTAAATATTTTCACATTGCAAGTTTCTCTAAAAATTGTTTGTTTTCTTATAATCTAACTTAAAGTAAGTATGCCGAGAGGTATGCACAAGTTTTGTCGTTAGAAGTATAAAAGCTTCAATTTAATTTGAACTATATTCAACAATTATTTGCCACTAAAAATTTTTTATCAAGAGAGTTGACTATACAATTATACTTACAACGTTTAAAACGATTTTAGAACTACTAATTGCTATTTCATGGCAATAATTGTTTCTCATTTCAATTAAATAGATTTTTTTACTATTAAACTTTTTTTTAATTGGTGGAATTGAATCGGGTAAAGTCAAGGCAAGCTCGATTAAAACAAACGTCTCCTTTTTCTTGAGGATTTCAAGGAGGATAGGATTTTTTACACAAATTAGTCAAGTTCAATGATGTAAGGCTAAAGTTGTGTTTACCAACCAGATTATTTTTTAATGTTTAATTTTGCCTCCACATTTTTTTTACTGTATGACACAATTTTTTTTTACAGAAAACATCTAGATCTAAAACATACATACATATGTATGTATCAGCGGTGTTGCCAGGCTTTTTAACATGTCTAGGAAATAATTAACTTAAAAACAGAACTAACTACATGTTCTTGTATAGCTAAATATATAAATAAATAGATAAATAAATAAATATTAAAATCGAAATAATTACAGCCATGTTTTCCGTCGTTATAAAAAAAATACTAATTACTGGAGACCGAATTGTATGCAGATGAATATTTGCATATTTTACAATATTTCAAACGAATTGTAAAATGATAGCACACTTTATTCTAAGAATGTTTTTTAAACCTTCCAGTGAGAATATTCTTAGGATCATGCTATATTTCTTCTAAAGAACATTCTTAAAAGACATATAGCATGATCCTAAGAATATTCTAACTGGCCTATAGGCAGGTTCTTAGAAGGTGCAAAGTTTTAGTGGTAAAAATTAGTCTACTCTAAACATATGCTTAGAATGTTAAGAAAGTAATTGCTATAGAAAGTTCATTTAGGAATATTCCTGTTAAGCATATTTAGTTCAGTTACCTATATAATAGTAAAATATACCATAAACTACGTATAAAGGCATATAGCTATACTTAATTAAGTACTTAAGTACCTAATTAGTAATTAGTATAAAATACTAAGTAAAAAACCCAATCCAAAATATTTTTTATAGTTATTTGTCAAATTAAAACAATATTCGATAACAAAAATACTTTTACTATAGGTATTTTATTTTATGTTAAAAATAAATGTTTATTAATTTGTATACCGATTTTTTATTTCTGAATTAACCTTTCTATGTATAATAATCCTAACTATCTTCAACTTCAATCTAATCTGTCTTATCCCACAAAATTTTCCAATTTTACTTTTTATGAAATACTGTCATACAACTTATGGTTTAGAGGTCAAATTGTTTATTTAATATTTTTAAATAAATATATATTAATATGTCGCAAAATTTTTTAAGGGGACGACAAATACATTTCACTGTCATATTATGACAGTGAGGCGTATTTGTCGCCTCCTGAAGAATTTTACGAATGTAGAATACAACATATTAGAACGTGGGTATCTGACATATTTGGAAATATTCTCAAAAGCTTCCAAGAAGCTCCATAAGAAACATTCCAAAAACGTATTCTTAAAATGTTCTTAGGATGCTTTTTAGGAAGGTTTTAAGAAGCTTTTAAGAATCTAATTGCATTATTAAAAGGGTATCTATTGATTGTTTTAAAAGTCCCTAAGAACAATCTTAGCAATTAGGGAAGGTTCTAAGAATATTCCATTATTCGGGTCATATCTTTTTAGATGATTCTTAAAATCAAATTTTGCTATCAGGGTAGTTAATATTCTTTGGAATTTTAATGCATTCTTGGAATAAGTTATAGGAATAATGATACAGGTGAGGATATTTTCATAAAAAATATGTTTTTTTTAAATTAATTTATTAAACATTTAAGAAAATTACAAAAATATTTAAACCAAAAAATATATAAATAACTTTAAAATATTCCATCATCGAGTCATATAGTGTATATAATAAAAACATATAATAATAAAAAATACTATATCATAGTATATAAAGGCACATATAAAAAATAAATAATTTGTAGTTTAAAAAGTATACAATTTATGTCTATGTTTAGATATATTTTGTTTTTAACACATTAGGGTGCCATTATTTCCCCTATTGATTTTTCTAGTTGCCATTAAATCAATTGTTTATAACCTAAAAATATTTTTAAATTTTTTATTAGGTTAGGTATAAACAATTGATTTGGGAATTTTTAAACACCCTAATACATACATACAGGGTGATTTTATTCCGAGTTCTGTTTATGCGAAATATAAACGTCCAAATGTCGTGGCCGCCAATATCGCCGGATCTAAGTCCATTGGATTTTTTTTCTGAAATATCTGAAATATCACCCTGTATTTTTGTCAAATGAAATGACAACATAAACTTTGTTCCATAAGACTGTTCAAAACAGTTTGTAGGAAAAGACCTATAGTAAAAAAATTAAAAATATTTGACTTTTTATTTAAATAATTCAAATTATAGAAGCAATATTTATTATGGTTAAAAATATTATATTTACATGATTTTCTATAATAGTAAAAAAAAATAAAATTAATGTCAATTTTTTTTTAATAACGAAGGTTTTTTAACCATTTTCAACCTCCAAAAATTTTTTTTCCAGATCTGTAATTTTTTTTTTTCCAAAAAATTTGTGTTTTTGTGTAATATAAAATTCAATATGTATATGCTATAGCATATAAAAAAATCTTATAAAATAAATGGTTAACATTAGTTAACCATTAATTTAATAAATATGGCGTTTTGTAGGTTATCGTTTTCATGTCATACGTCAATGATACCAACAAAATAAATAAAAATACTTTTAATATTAATAGGGGATACCAACCCTGTTGTTATTGGATACAGAACTGTTTGTTCTGTGTAACATTTCAGAGAAATGTTTTTTACCATTTTTTTCCACCCTCAATTTTGGTTCTGCATAGCTATGCCTATTTTTTACTTTTTGATTTTTGTTATCGAACTTTTGATTATATTTCTCCACTTTTTCCAACTCTATGGATTTGTATCTATCTTCGTCTTGGAAGTGTCTAGGGTCTCTGGAATCTCTCGGCCCTCTTGGATAGTCGAAACCGTCATGGTAACTCGATGTTTCCAGATATGATCTCCGTTTTAGCTCTTTCGCTATTTCATTGGAATTTTTTTTGTGCTCTTCTTCCAGTAGGGAAAACATAGATCTTCGTTTGGGGTCGAATTTATCGGTGTTTCTGTATCTTTCACCCGATATATCTCTCCGATATCTCACTTCCTCAGTGATCTTCCTGGGAGATGCTTTTGGATGCTCATCGTAGTAACTGTCATCGTATCTCTCCCTTGTGGCGTAAGCCATGCTTTCCTGTCGTCTGACGACATTTTTTTCCTTGGAGTTATGGGGTGGGGAGGGGGGTTCGGGCACCCTCTCCATCAGCAAAAATTTCTCCTTGGCGTCTTTAAACCTATCCCTAGGAGCTTTGCATTCTTCTGGAGGTGAAGGGCTTCTTTGCCTGAAATAAGTGGCCACACTTTATTCCAAGAATGTTTTTTAAACCTTCCAGTGAGAATAGTCTTAGGGTCATGCTATATTTCTTCTAAAGACATATAGCATGATCCTAAGAATATTCTTACTGGCCTATAGGCAGGTTCTTAGAAGGTGCAAAGTTTTAGTGGTAAAAATTAGTCCACTCTAAACATATGCTTAGAATGTTAAGAAAGTAATTGCTATATAAAGTTCATTTGGGAATATTCCTGTTAAGCATATTTAGTTCAGTTACCTATATAATAGTAAAATATACCATAAACTACGTACTATACTTAAGTACCTAATTAGTAATTAGTATTAAATACTAAGTAAAAAACACAATCCAAAAGATTTTTTTAAAGTTATTCGTCAAATTAAAACAATATTCGATAACAAAAATACTTTTACTATAGGTATTTCATTTTATGTTTAAAATAAATATTTATTAATTTGTATACCGATTTTTTATTTCTGAATCAACATTTTTATGTATAATAATCCTAACTATCTTCAACTTCAATCTAATCTGACTTATCCCACAAAATTTTCCAATTTCACTTTTTATGAAATAATGTCATACAACTTATGGTTTGAGGTCAAATTGTTTATTTAATATTTTTAAATAAATATAAACTAATATGTCGCAAAATTTTTCAAGGGGACGACAAATACATTTCACTGTCATATTATGACAGTGAGGCGTATTTGTCGTCTCCTGAAGAATTTTACGAATGTGGAATACAACATATTAGAACGTGGGTATCTGACATATTTGGAAATATTCCAAAAGCATCCTAGAAGCTCCATAAGAAACCTTCTAAGAACATTCCAAAAACGTATTCTTAAAATGTTCTTAGGATGCTTTTTAGGAAGGTTTTAAGAAGCTTTTAAGAATCTAATTGCATCATTAAAAGGGTATCTATCTTACCTGTATTGAGCTGCCCGTCTGATGGATACTTCTTCAAAGTATTCCTTGGATCTGGATATTTTTTCATCCCTTTCAGATCGCGAAGAATACTTTTCTGGTGATGGTTTTCTTCTAGGTTTTTCTGGTTCGTAGTATCTCGGATCTTCCGGCATAAACTTACCTGTTGGTTTGGTCGTTTCCTGGTAATATCTGGAAAATATGATTAATTGATAAATTGAAATTTTTCTCGAAAATACATCATACCTTGAATTTTCCTTGTAATATTTGGAGTTACTCTCATCACCAGCATATTTTTGCCTTGTTTTTGCTACTGGTGGCTCCTTAAATCTTCTGGAATCATCGAAGAATTCTTCTTCATCATAAGAGAATCTTTGATGTTGACGGTCGAAGTCTGTAGACTTAGATCTATATCTAAAAGTATAGAAAAGAATGTTTTTTTTGCTACCTTTGCAGCAATATTATTACCTTATATTTTCATCAAAACCGTCATCCTCAAAGTATTTTATGGGCTTGTCTTTATCAGTTCTTCGTAACTCTTCCTTGTGGTACTTTTTGTTCTCATCTGTGTATCTTTCAGCGAATCTTTCTCTGTCATATCTATTGTTGTATTTTTCCTTTTCCTGGTAGTATGCATCGTTGTAGTATCTATCCTCAGTATCCAGACTTTTCTGTCTCTCAACTTTCTCCTTCTCCAAGCTTTTCTGTCTCTCCAGGTAGTTGTTATTCGTGAATTTAGCAATGGGTTTCTCCAAATATTTCGTTATATTACTGTTGGTGGTATTATTATTGATGTTATCTTGTGATCCAAATGAGTATCCACTATCCCGAATCTCCTTAGTAGATTTTCTAAATTTTTCGTCTTCATATCGAGAAAATCTTTGCTGGGTAGGGTCTGGGGATTTTCCCCTTACCTCTTGTTGTGCATTTTTAGGTCTTGGTAGGGTCATCTGGGCGGGACCATGCATCAAATAGAGAGTTGAATCGGCTGGGTCACCGTTCCAATCTTCATCTGAAACGATGAAAAAGAAGATGTAGTTATTTCAAAATTTGATTTTAAGAATCTTCTAAGAAGATTTGACCCGGAATAATGGAATATTCTTAGAACCTTCCCTTATTGCTAAGAATGTTCTTAGGGACTTTTAAAACATTCAATAGATACCCTTTTAATGATGCAATTAGATTCTTAAAAGCTTCTTAAAACCTTCCTAAAAAGCATCCTAACAACATTTTAAGAATACGTTTTTGGAATGTTCTTAGAAGGTTTCTTATGGAGCTTCTAGGAAGCTTTTGAGAATATTTCCAAATATGTCAGATACCCACGTTCTAATATGTTGTATTCTAAATTCGTAAAATTCTTCAGGAGACGACAAATACGCCTCACTGTCATAATATGACAGTGAAATGTATTTGTCGTCCCCTTAAAAAATTTTGCGACATAATAATATATATTTATTTAAAAATGTATATAAACAATTTGACCTCTAAACCATAAGTTGTATGACATTATTTCATAAAAAGTAAAATTGGAAAATTTTGTGGGATAAGTCAGATTAGATTGAAGTTGAAGATAGTTGGGATTATTATTCATAAAAATGTTAATTCAGAAATAAAAAATCGGTATACAAATTAATAAATATTTATTTTTGACATAAAATAAAATACCTATAGTAAAAGTATTTTTGTTATCGAATATTGTTTTAATTTGACAAATAACTATAAAAAAATATTTTGGATTGTGTTTTTTACTTAATTTTTACCACTAAAACTTTGCATCTTCTAAGAACCTGCATATAGGCCAGTAAGAATATTCTTAGGATCATGCTATATGTCTTTTAAGCATGTTCTTTAGAAGAAATATGATCCTAAGAATATTCTCACTGGAAGGTTTAAAAAACATTCTTAGAATAAAGTGTGCTATCAGGGATTGAATAAAGTCTACCCATTTGAATACAGACGAGGACCGATGAATGGCCAGCGAGAAATCCGGATTTTACCCCTCTTGATTATTAAATTATTTTTTTTGAATTACAAATTTTTAAATCACGAATTATGGTAGTCGTTGAAAAAAAATCAAATCGATGTATATATATATATATATATATATATATATATATATATGCGGTGGGTTCCGCATTCTCTTATCGACCCACAGCCCGAAGGCATCACCTGTGCCCATAACGCCGGTTCGGGCTGGGCCTCGCCCATCAAACATGTCGGGTCAAGAAGTAAAAAATCACAAGTTGACTGAAAATAGCGATGGACCTGTTTCGCCATATAGGGCCACGACCTGATACATACAAATCTTTTTTTTGTATTTTGTCGATACACAGGTATACAAAAAATTATTATGAAGTTTAGAAATTCATTGATGACCAATTAGGACTTCAACACGAAATGAATGGCACCTTGGGATAGATTCTAAGAATGTTTTTTAAACCTTCCAGTGAGAATATTCTTAGGATCATACTGTATTTCTTCTAAAGACATATAGCATGATCCTAAGAATATTCTTACTGGCCTATAGGCAGGTTCTTAGAAGGTGCAAAGTTTTAGTGGTAAAAATTAGTCTACTCTAAACATATTCTTAGAATGTTAAGAAAGTAATTATTAATTAGTATTAATTAGTAAAAAACACAATCCAAAATATTTTTTTATAGTTATTTGTCAAATTAAAACAATATTCGATAACAAAAATACTTTTACTATAGGTATTTTATTTTAAGTTAAAAATAAATATTTATTAATTTGTATACCGATTTTTTATTTCTGAATTAACATTTTTATGTACAATAATCCTAACTATCTTCAACTTCAATCTAATTTGACTTATCCCACAAAATTTTCCAATTTTAACTTTTATGAAATAATGTCATACAACTTATGGTTTAGAGGTCAAATTGTTTATTTAATATTTTTAAATAAATATATATTAATATGTCGCAAACATTTTTAAGGGGACGACAAACACATTTCACTGTCATATTATGACAGTGAGGCGTATTTGTCGCCTCCTGAAGAATTTTACGAATGTAGAATACAACGTATTAGAACGTGGGTATCTGACATATTTGGAAATATTCTCAAAAGCTTCCTAGAAGCTCCATAAGAAACCTTCTAAGAACATTCCAAAAACGTATTCTTAAAATGCTTTTTAGGAAGGTTTTAAGAAGCTTTTAAGAATCTAATTGCATCATGAAAAGGGTATCTATTGAATGTTTTAAAAGTACCTAAGAACATTCTCAGCAATAAGGGAAGGTTCTAAGAATATTCCATTATTCCGGGTCAAATCTTCTTAGAAGATTCTTAAAATCAAATTTTGATATCAGGAAAAAACTAGAAGTTGAAATTCAAACTCAAGACCTAAAATAATACTTAGCTTATTCGAACCAGTAAGATTTTACTTTTGACTGTCTTTTTCACTATCTTTCCCAATGTGCAGCACACCTTGCTTTTGGATTCATAACCTACTTAGCGAAATATTTGCATAAGTTTTATAGGAAACCGATAATAAATTAAAATTTACAGATAAGAAACTTAAGGAACGCATTTTTGATTTTATTAATTGGATAATTGGATGGTTAAATATAAAATCAAAATGTATGTACTGTGTACGAGGTGTGTTCAGAAAATATCGGTAATTTTCGTTTTTTGAAACAAATATTTATTTATTCGTCTACATTAATGTTGTCGCCTTCAAAATAGTCCCCATTGGATATTATGCACATGTGCCAGCTCTTCTTCCAATACTCGAAACACTTCTAAAACTCGATCTTTGGGATAGCCTTTAGTTCTTTCAGCGATGCGCTTTTAATGTCATCCATGCTTGCAAAACGACGGCCCTTTAAAGTTCTCTTTATTTTTGGGAATAGGAAAAAGTCAGACAGAGGCATGTCTGGCGAATATGGAGGCTGGGGCATTATTACAGTATTGTTTTTGGCCAAAAATTTTGTTCAAAATTTAACAATTTTAGAACAAATTTTGCTGCCACGCGTTTCATACCCAAAACATTCGAAAAAATTTCATGGGATGAGCCAATCGATATACCAACATCATCAGCGACTTCTCTGATGGTTTATAACCATTTCTTCCACTTTTTCCATGTTTTTATCGGTTGTTAATGTGCTTGTGCGTTCTGGGCGTTCGTCATCTTCAACGTCTTCACGGCCATCTTGGAAACTCTTATACCACTTGTAAACTCTTGTTTTACTTATAGCAGACTCACTATAGGCCTTTGTTAACATTTCACAGAATTTGTTTTATTTTTTAAGCAAAATTGGATACAAATTCTTTGATCCATTTCTTCGAACGAAAAATCGCCGAGCTCATAAAACACGTCTAACCTTAGCGGCTGCCACAGACAAAGTAAACAATGAAAACAGCTAAAGTTTTTATCATACTTCGGGGGCATTTATACCAACATAATAAAGAAAATTTTATGACAACCGGACCCTCCGAACCCGCGAAATTTAACAATTCCCGTTATTTTCTTAACACACCTCGTATGTTAATAAAGCAGTTCCTATCTGCAAAACAAATTAAGGAAAATTTAAGGCACTGGCGTTGTATAAACAAAGGACTCTTTATATTATTTTTACTTTCCTTTCTTTGTACAAAACAAAACAAACATTTAGTTTTCACAGTAGTAAATTTACTTAGTGTCTAATTTTTGCGATGTATTTACTTTTACTTTTTTGGTTTTCACTTAAATATTTATGTATATGTATATTTACGCAATTCATTCTTCAAAAGTTGGACAACTTGATGTCATCAGTCAATAGAGTAGGTATTTTAATATTTTTTGTAAATATTTAGTATATTACAAAAGATCCAGGTTTTTTTAACTTGTCCACCCAATTTTAATGTATCTTTTCAAAAGCACGTTTGTAGAAAAACATAATAAATATTCAAAACGTCAGTACCTTGGCGTGTCACAACTCCTGAATCAAATATTTGAGTAATTTTATTTTAAAATATAATCAATTTATCTTAAATTTTTCAATTTCACTACAAACTATAAAACATTAAATAGGTAATGTATTCTTCATATTTTATCATAGATTCGAATAATAGCAATTTTTTAAAAATTGATAATCTTTGTACTCACTTTTACCCGTCAGTTCTGTGTCCTATGTTAAAATTCAAAATTCCTGCGAAATATTGAAGTTTAAACGTCAAGTCCTCGTTTTAACTCAAGTGTTGGTAAAAAATTACCTACAGAGCGCGCCCTTTGCACGACAGTCATCTTGAAAACAATGCAAGCGGCGAAGTTGTGGTGAATGCACGTATAGTGCCAGTCAACATTTCAGTACTGCGGTGAGTATTTATTTTGTGTGATTTGTTGATAAGTAGCTTCCAGTAATAAAAAATATCATTAAAATACTTAATTCCGAATTATAATCTCAAATTTATATCCCATTCATCAGTTCCATGTTCGATGTTTCAGTTATCTTTTTTTCGCAAACTTTAATTTACACTTTAATTTAAACTCATATAAATTTGGTGTGGGTCCCATATCTAATAATTTAGATATCGGTATACCCAAAATCCACCAGCCGCCACTGATGTGTGGTATTATTTGATGTATAATATTTAATGTATAATATGCTCAAATTTGCAATAAATCTTATATTTTTCAATAAATTATGTATTTAATTAGTACCCTGGTATACTCGTCACTTTCCTTGCATTCAAAAGAGAAATATTTTTTTCAATGTTGTGTCAACACAAGTTTTCTGAGGTTTTTCATTCAGTGAACACACTATATCAATCTCTCACTTAAAATGTTTGCAATATTTGCGGTATTTGATTCATTGACCAAATGTTAATCTATATTGCGGTAAAAGTTGGCTGTGACCACATAAAAAAAACAATAAGTGACGTTTAAAATAAAAAAAATATTGTTACGACATTGAACTGAAATAAACTATACGTTTTATTGAACTTTATTTACTTTATTTTATTTTTACTTTTTTTCAGTTTTTTTGATGGGAATTCGTTGTTTGATCATGTTTAACTGTTGTTGTGTCTTGAAATCTCCATTGAAGCTTGAAATTACACATTTTATTGAAGAGTTGGCAACACTTGCTCAATCTTAAAAATGCATTCCGCACCTAGAGCGATCGATGTACCGAGCGCGATTGTGAAAGTGGCCTCCGCACTGACCCGATCTGACCTCACTTGACATGTTCGGTTTCTGCCGCTCTCTATCACACGCGCTCGTGTGCTGCTAAAGTGGACGAGGAAGAAGAAGAACGATAAGAAGATGAAGAAGAGGAAGAAACCTGTCCAAGATATCGTAGGATTATTCAAATACTTAAGTTTTTAATGTTACCGTTTTATAAACCGAACAGGTGTCTTGGTATCTCAAGATTACAATTTTTACCAATAAATGGGTGATTCTACAAAAGTTGGGCAACAGTATTTTGTTATGAGAACATAGATAATATAATAAATATACTGTTCCAGACCGGGCCAGTCACTTTTTCAAACAGTTTCCGAAATATCTGTGTTTTCTAAATTTGAATGCAAGGGAAGTGACGAGTATACCAGAGTACTAATTAAATACATAATTTATTGGAAAATATAAGATTAATTGCAACTTTAAGCATATTATACATTAAATATCTTAAAATCAAATAATACCACACATCAGTGGCGGCTGGTGGATTTTGGGTATACCGATATCTCAATTGTTAGATATGGGACCCACACCAAATTTATATGAGTTTATAATAACATTAAATAAACAAGTTCTGCGCAAGCAGAATTTAAAAAGAAGTTTGCGAAAAAAAGATAAACGAAACATCGAACATGGAACTGACGACACGGTACTGATGAATGGGATACAAATTTGAGATTATAATTCGGAATTAAGTATTTTACTGATATTTTTTATTAGTGAATGCTATTTATCAACAAATCACATATAGCCTTATATAAATTACAATACGTAAGAAAATAATTACTCAACACAGTACTGAAATTTTGACTGGAACTATACGTGCATTCACCACAACTTCGCCGCTTGCATTGTTTTCAAGATGACTGTCGTGCAAAGGGCGGGCTCTGTAGGTAATTTTTTACCAACACTTGAGTTAAAACGAGGACTTGACGTTTAAACTTCAATATTTCGAAGGAATTTTGAATTTTAACATTGGACACAGAACTGACGGGTAAAAGTGAGTACAAAGATTATCAATTTTTTAAAAATTGCTATTATTCGAATTTATGATAAAATATGAAGAATACATTATTTAATGTTTTATAGTTTGTAGTGAAATTGAAAAATTTAAGATAAATTGAATGTATTTTAAAATAATCACTCAAATATTTGATTCAGGAGTTGTGACACGCCAAGGTACTGATGTTTTGAATATTTATTATGTTTTTCTACAAACGCGCTTTTGAACAAATACATTAAAATTGGTTGGACAAGTTAAAAGAACCTGGATCTTTTGTTATATACTAAAATATTTACAAAAAATATTAAAATACCTACTCTATTGACTGATGACATCAAGTTGTCCAAATTTTGTAGAATCGCCCATATAACATAATATAACAGGTGGCATCGCTGTTCTTTTGTTTCTTAGCCGCCTCCATTAACTACCAACTGACACAGTTATGTTGATTGTTATCTCTTTGACACTCCAACAATCAAAACTGAATTGATTATAGCTATGGTAGGTATAGCATATTCAGTGAATGGAAAAGATTGAGAAAAATATTTTGCATATAATATTTTTTTAAGGAAGGGTTTACGAGATTTTAAATTTTAAACGATTGGACTTTAAACTTTCACTTGGGCTTGCCAATTTTGCGAATATTATTACTTAAAGATTATTTTATAAAATTTTATGGTACTACTTTCACATTGCTTAAAACATACCTAATTAGCAATTAGTATTAAATACTAAGTAAAAAACACAATCCAAAATATTTTTTTATGTTATTTGTCAAATTAAAACAATATTCGATAACAAAACTACTTTTACTATAGGTATTTTATTTTATGATAAAAATATATATTTATTAATTTGTATACCGATTTTTATTCCTAAATTAACATTTTTATGTATAATAATCCTAACTATCTTCAACTTCAATCTAATCTGACTTATCCCACAAAATTTTCCAATTTTACTTTTTTTGAAATGATGTCATACAACTTATGGTTTAGAGGTCAAATTGTTTATTTAATATTTTTAAATAAATATATATTAATATGTCGCAAATTTTTTTAAGGGGACGACAAATACATTTCACTGTCATATTATGACAGTGAGGCGTATTTGTCGCCTCCTGAAGAATTTTACGAATGTAGAATCCAACATATTAGAACGTGGGTATCTGACATATTTGGAAATATTCTCAAAAGCTTCCTAGAAGCTCCATAAGAAACCTTCCAAGAACATTCCTAAAACGTATTCTTAAAATGTTCTTAGGATGCTTTTTAGGAAGGTTTTAAGAAGCTTTTAAGAATCTAATTGCATCATTAAAAGGGTATCTATTGAATGTTTTAAAAGTCCCTAAGAACGTTCTTAGCAATAAGGGAAGGTTCTAAGAATATTCCATTATTCCGGGTCATATCTTCTTAGAAGATTCTTAAAATCAGGGTTTGGTATACCTACTTATTAAGAAAACGTCACAAAAAATATTTAAAGTAATTAACGTTAAATGTACAAAATCACCGTTATAAGAAACGCTGGTGATTGTTTCAAGTAATTTTTAGTATGGCAACCCTGTTCTTCAATCAAGGCCTTCATGTTTTAAAAGGAGAAAATAACTGATTAACTTCCGGTGCGGAAATTGTAGATATGTCATCCAAGAAGGCATTAAAGTACATTGATGTACCTACTTAAACATTAAAAACGAAGAAAAAAATGCGTGTTGAGTGAATATGACAGTGACAAATTTTATTCTGTAGGTATGTTAAAAGTTGGGAGATTTTCTTCCAAACCACAGAATATAGGGAAATCTATTAAAAATTCTATACCAGTAGGTATACGAGGTGTGTTCAGAAAATATCGGGAATTTTCGTTTTTTGAAACAAATATTTATTTATTCGTCTACATTAATGTTGTCGCCTTCAAAATAGTCCCCATTGGATATTATGCACATGTCCAATACTCGAAACACTTCTAAAACTCGATCTTTGGGATAGCCTTTAGTTCTTTCAGCGATGCGCTTTTAATGTCATCTACGCTTGCAAAACGACGGCCCTTTAAGGTTCTCTTTATTTTTGGGAATAGGAAAAAGTCAGACAGAGGCATGTCTGGCGAATATGGAGGCTGGGGCATCATTGAACAAAAATTTTGTTCAAAATTTAACAATTTTGGAACAAATTTTGCTGCCACGCGTTTCATACCCAAAACATTCGATAAAATTTCATGGGATGAGCCAATCGATATACCAACATCATCAGCGACTTCTCTTATGGTTTATAACCATTTCTTCCACTTTTTCCATGTTTTTATCGGTTGTTAATGTGCTTGTGCGTTCGGGGCGTTTGTCATTTTCAACGTCTTCACGGCCATCTTGGAAACTCTTGTTTTACTTATAGCTGACTCACTATAGGCCTTTGTTAACATTTCATAGAATTTATTTCATTTTTTAAGCAAAATTGGGTACAAATTCTTTGATCCATTTCTTTTAACGAACGAAAATCGCCGAGCTCATAAAACACGTCTAACCTTAGCGGCTGCCACAGACAAAGTAAACAATGGGGGCATGTATACCAATATAAAGAAAATTTTATGACAACTGGACCCTCCGAACCCGCGAAATTTAACAATTCCCGTTATTTTCTGAACACACCTCGTATGCAGACATGTCTGTTATTTATTTGTTTTTATTTCTGCAAATAATATAGAGTCGATTAAATTTCTAAGCACGAAGCATTACCACGCGCCTACCTATATTTTTTTCAAAACAATTGAAAGTTGACAGGAAATAGCCTGTATGCTATTATTACTGTTATGTAGCAGCAATTTTCGATTATGAGATATCCCATGTTACAAAACTGCAAAAGAATTTAATATACAATATGCTTAATTTAAGAATAAGTATTTTTTGGTACAAATGTTATAATTCTTGGCGATACAATATTTACTTTTGGATTAAATATAAGGTATCTTTATGTAAGTTAAGCAATAATTGTTTCAAATATTGTCTATTCTTTTTTTAACTTTTGCTCGACTTTAAAAATATGGGTGATTCTACAAAAGTTGGGCAACTTTTGACCTCATTTTGTTTATATAGTTTTCGGAGAAAATTAAACAGTATTTTGTTATGATAACATAGATAATATAATAAATATACTGTTCCAGACCGGGCCAGTCACTTTTTCAAACAGTTTCCGAAATATATGTGTTTTCTAAATTTGAATGCAAGGGAAGTGACGAGAATACCAGGGTACTAATTAAATACATAATTTATTGGAAAATATAAGATTTATTGCAACTTTGAGCATATTATACATTAAATATGTTAAAATCAAATAATACCACACATCAGTGGCGGCTGGTGGATTTTGGGTATACCGATATCTCAATTATTAGATATGGGCCCCACACCAAATTTATATGAGTTTATAATGACATTAAATAAACAAGTTCTGCGCAAGCAGAATTTAAATTGAAGTTTGCGAAAAAAAGATAACCGAAACATCGAACATGAAACTGACGACACGGTACTGATGAATGGGATACAAATTTGAGATTATAATTCGGAATTAAGTATTTTACTGATATTTTTTATTAGTGGATGCTACTTATCAACAAATTACATATAGCCTTATATAAATTACAATGAAATATATATACGTAAGAAAATAACTACCCACCACAGTACTGAAACTATACGTGCATTCACCACAACTTCGCCGCTTGCATTGTTTTCAAGATTTAGATTTTTTTTCTTTAGATTTATTTTTTTTTAAATTTTTTTTTATAGGGTACTTACCACTTGTGCTTTGATTATCCAACGTACTGAACCTATTGTCCGGAGCATCCGGTGAATCGGGACTTGGGGGGTGATCCGACCCTATCCCACTGCTACCCCCCACTACTTTCCATCCTTCTACCTTTGACATTCTGACCGACGATGTTAGCGTTAAGGCAACGCCGCAATTCGATACCTGCGAGGTTGCCTTTTTGCCGATGCACAGTGTCGTAGTCTCTGGGGGGGAGGAGGATGGGGGAGTTTTTTTTCCCCAACTTGGCACGAAGCTCCGCCGCCACTGAGTCGTATAATGTCGACACTCTGGTGTTTTCAACTGCGAATCTAAATTTTCAAAAAAAAAAAAAAATCATCCGAAAATTGTTAAATTTTAAATTAAATTAACACCAGCGCCCCCTGTACGTTAAAATCTAAACAACATTTTTTCATGGATTAATTGTCGTTAGTAAGATCTACATTTTGTCCAAATTTCAAATCGATACGTTTTGAAATAAAAAAGTTATTACAAAAAATAAAATTTCTTAATTTTTAACACATTGAAGAAAAAAAAAAGAAAAAAACAAAGTTGTGAACGAGATATTTAAAAAAAAAAGTACTGCATTTAGATGTAAAAATAAGGTAAAAAAGTTATATAGAATATTATATTGTAGATAAGTTAATAGTGAAATAAATATTAAAAAAAAAAGTACCTATAGCTCGTGCTACAGTTACCTAGTCAAATTGAAAGAAAATTCAGAGATACTGGACGTGTCAAAGACATTTTTGTGCATTTGGTCCAAATATCTGGTTTTCTCCATAAAATAATTTTAACTAAACAGCATTTATTAAAAAAATCTAACTTCTCTATTATGTAATAAGAATATCTGTATTAAAGGTAGGTTAATATATTATAACAAAAATATCATCTAATTTTGTAATTTTAAGGTTGGAAAAATTTATTTTGACCAAAATAAATAAGTATTTTGGATTATTTAAAAGACTGTATTTAAAAATGTGGTAGTTTTTCTTATCCAGTTTAAAGTGTACCTACATAAAGTTTTGTCAATACAAATAGTTAAAAAGCTTCGACTGAATTTGATTTACATCAAAAAAACATAACTTTAAAAATTTTAATAAATCACATGTCATGGGAGTATTAAATATTTTCACATAGCAAGTTTCTCTAAAAATTGTTTGTTTTCTTATAATCTAACTTAAAGTAAGTATGCCGAGAGGTATGCACAAGTTTTGTCGTTGGAAGTATAAAAGCTTCAATTTAATTTGAACCATATTCAACAATTATTTAGTATACCTACATTTATTTATGACCATATTAACACATTCTTCCAAATAATCCACTTATTTATTTTGGTCAAAATAGATTTTTCTAACCTTAAAATACAAAATTAGGTGAAATTTTTTGTTCTAATACATTAACCTACCTTTGATACAGATATTCTTATTTCATAGAGAAGTTTCTTTCATTGACTATACTTTGACAGATACATAACCTGAAAAGCCTTAAATGCCAAATTTTCGAAAGACTGCGTTCCGTACGTGGTCACGTGGTGGGACTTTGAGGTGCGGAGCACAGTACTTTAGATAAAAATAAACTCTTACCTTTCCTCACTTGATTCGCTTTCTCTCGTACTAGTCCCTGTGTCACTCCCAATAGAACTCTCAACTTTCTTCAACTCCTTGGGAGGTTTAAGGCGACTTTCTATCTCAGCGAACTTCTTCTGATTCTCAGGTCTGTCAATTAAGGTTTGTAGTTGTTGTTTTAGCAGTGTTGCCGTTTCTAGACTGTCACATCTGTAGGCGTGGACGTGTAGAGGGCATTTGGTTACCGGGTTGAATAGTAGTAGAATACAAGCTATGATATCTTCGTGTTGATAAACGCAGGTTATGGTGTTGTGGGGTATAAAATGTTTTATCGTTTCATTCTTAGGTTTGCTATTTTTGGCACCCTGCGAGACGATATTTTGAACAATTTTCAAACCTTTATGCGACACTTGCAATGTGACCTTGAAAGGCTCAACATCCTTCTCGCGTTGTTCTAAATGTTTTATCACCGGTAATATGTACTCAGTACCACGTAAACCCTTGGATTCTTTAGCACCAAGAAACCAAACGTAGTAAGAAGATTTTTTTATGTCTTTACGTAGTTTAAGAGCCATCGTTCAAGAGTTATTTTTTGACTGACATCTTCTAAGCTGTGTTTTGGAACCCTGAAACCAAAAAGAAAGAAGTATAGTTTTCTTGAAAACACTCAATTCATTCAAGATACATCACTATTTTCTAGGGGCAGTGATATAATATATACTACACTGTTTAAAATATCTGTGGTGTGAAGAGTAATCTTAAAATGGTGTCAAAATCCAACACCAAGTGATGTTAATATAACACCATGAATTATCGTTGAAAATGTTTTATACAGCAAACACCAAACGGAGTTTATCTAAAAATATTTGAGAAGTGCACCTACACAGAAAAAAAGGAATAGTTCATTTAACTATATTAATTTAGTTGACCCATAAGTATTTATTTAAATCAACTGTGGGAAGGTTAATATAATCAAAGATTAGTTTGACGGTACTAAGCCAGATAGTTTTTTTTTTAATTGGTTAAATTAACCCAGAAAACTTTAGTGAAACCAATCCGCTGTATGGTTCGGTTTACTAAATATGTTGTTTGTAAAATAAGAGTTACTTCAACCTAAAGCACTCTGTTAAAACGATTAAAGCAATTTGCCGTGCATTCCTGGTTGCATAGTGTGTACCGATCGCGGCAAAGGCGGTGTGGATCACGTGATGTTCTTAAATCTCGCCTCTGTTGACTTACATGAAGAGTATATAAGCTCAGGTAATCCTTTGCTTTGGTGTGACACTAAAAGTTGTTCGATACTAAAGAGACCTTAAATAAGTGGAAACAGCTGTCAATATTTGAAGTATTTTAAGTTGGTGGAACGCACTAAAAACATTATCTCTAGCGAGTTGGAGGTTCAATTTTCTGGAATAATACCACTGGTAATATACTTGTAATGCGTCAAGGAACTTCCTGTTTCCTTTTTTTGTGTGTAGTCTGATTTAATTTGACCAAAAACACATTATATTTAACACTAAAAAGGAGTTCAATTTACACCAGGTAAAATTTATTTTAATACTCTGTGAAAGTTAATTTTACACCATTTTAGTATTTGAATTTACACTGGACCAACGAACCATATTTAACACCATTTTGGTTTGTATCGATATAGATCATGTATGGTGTTAATTTGGTGTTAAAATGATCATGAAATTTTGAACAGTGTGTTGGACCAAGTCAATAGTAAATCCTTTGGTAGCAAGACAATTTTCTTTAGCAAGACAAAAAACTAAAAATTAATCATTTTGATTTATTCTTAGCTTGATATTAATTACTTGATACCCCGTGGCTTATAAGAGAACAAAACCAAAATAAACAAAACTTTCTCCCATTTCATTGAATTAAAATCTATAATAAAGTGGACTCGAAGACTTGATAAATAAGTACTCCAAGATATTGACCGATAGATATACCTAAGAATAAATATTGCCTTTCTCCTTTAAAGAAACTCCAAATAAAATAAATCCATAGCACTTAGTGTCAGCTAAACGATCTTGAAGATAAAAAGGTTTCGTTTTCTAGAGTTGAACTTGATCAGGAACAGAAAATTTATGGAGAAATTTATACAGGGTGCACGGAAAAAAGCTATTCTATACTTAAGTACCTAATTAGTAATTAGTATTAAATACTAAGTAAAAACACAATCCAAAATATTTTTTTATAGTTATTTGTCAAATTAAAACAATATTCGATAACAAAAATACTTTTACAATAGGTTTTTTATTTTATGTTTAAAATAAATATTTATTTTTTATTTCTGAATTAGCATTTTTATGTATAATAACCCTAACTATCTTCAACTTCAATCTAATCTGACTTATCCCACGAAATTTTCCAATTTTACTTTTTATGAAATAATGTCATACAACTTATGGTTTAGAGGTCAAATTGTTTATTTAATATTTTTAAATAAATATATATTAATATGTCGCAAAATTTTTTAAGGGGACGACAAATACATTTCACTGTCAAATTATGACAGTGAGGCGTATTTGTCGTCTCCTGAAGAATTTTACGAATGTAGAATACAACATATTAGAACTCTGACATATTTGGAAATATTCTCAAAAGCTTCCTAGAAGCTCCATAAGAAACCTTCTAAGAACATTCCAAAAACGTATTCTTAAAATGTTCTTACGATGCTTTTTAGGAAGGTTTTAAGAAGCTTTTAAGAATCTAATTGCATCATTAAAAGGGTATCTATTGAATGTTTTAAAAGTCCCTAGGAACATTCTTAGCAATAAGGTTCTAAGAATATTCCATTGTTCCGGGTAATATCTTCTTAGAAGATTCTTAAAATCAAATTTTGCTATCAGGGATATACCGTTACCTAAAAAAACTTTCCTAACAATCTATCAAATTAACATTTATAAGTATTTTTAAGTCTTACAAGAAACTATTAATTTCAGAATGATGTAACGCTTGAATTATAAATTTGATTTAATTGGTCTTCATTTAAAAATTTCAAACAAAAATGTCGAAACCATAAAATAAAGTGTTCTAATAACTAAAACTGTTTTTATTTTGCATAAAAAATGTCATAATATAGTATATTAAAGAACTAATGTCATAAGACGTCATTTTGTCTTATGACATGAGTTCTTTATGCTATTTTATCTATTTTGCACAAATTCTATAAAATAGTATATTACACTACAAGGGCAGAAAGTGTGAGATTCCTGCACTGCGCGCCATGATGCCCGAGGCGAAGCCGAGGGCATCATGGCGCGCAGTTTAGGGCTCTCACACTTTCTGCCCGTGTAGTGTATACTATTTTTCTTGCTACCCCCGCAGAAAATACGGGAAAAAATTAAATGTATATAAAAAAACTTGTGTCAAAATTAAAATCTGACGTTTAATTTAATTCTGACGTTTACATTCAAAATCAATCAAACTGTAGCGTTGTCATGGTAATTCAGCGGTGCCAATACAGTAAAAATAAAAGGTTGTATTTTAATTAACAAATTACTACTTTATAACAAATAAAAGTACCATTAAACACTTAAAACAACATAAAAAGTAAAAAAGTAAAAACATAAATTGTTTATTTGTTGTTTTAATTGCAAAATTATGGTTTAAAACTGTCTTATTTTTGTGTTTCTCATGTTGGCAGTACGAAATTTGAATGTTAAGCACACGACTAAAAAATTTTTACTCCCGCTATTAGAGTGTGCGCGTATAGCTTGACCAATGCAAGAAACGTTAACTTTCTGCCTTGAAATCGGGGACGAAACAACGTATTTTGAGTCGAGGTAGTAAGAAAAAATAATTTTATACCTTAAATTTAATTTGGCCGAATTTTATTTTAGATAGTTGGTATCACAGCCATTGGTTTGACAGTTAATGTCAAAATCGATACGCCATGCCGTCCTTAAATTACTTATTTGAAAATAGTCCCCATTGGATATTATGCACATGTGCCAGCTCTTCTTCCAATACTCGAAACACTAGCCTTTAGTTATTTCAGCGATGCGCTTTTAATGTCATCTATGCTTGCAAAACGACGGCCCTTTAAGGTTCTTTTTATTTTTGGGAATAGGAAAAAGTCAGAAAGAGGCATGTCTGGCGAATATGGAGGCTGGGGCATCATTACAGTATTGTTTTTGGCCAAAAATGTTGTTCAAAATTCAACAATTTTAGAACAAATTTTGCTGCCATACGTTTCATACCCGAAACATTCGAAAAAATTTCATGGGATGAGCCAATCGATATACCAACATCATCAGCGACTTCTCTGATGGTTTATAACCATTTCTTTCACTTTTTCCATGTTTTTATCGGTTGTTAACGTGCTTGTGCGTTCGGGGCGTTCGTCATCTTCAACGTCTTCACGGTCTTATACCACTTGTAAACTCTTGTTTTACTTATAGCAGACTATAGGCCTTTGTTAACATTTCACAGAATTTATTTAATTTTTTAAGCAAAATTGGATACAAATTCTTTGATCCATTTCTTTTAACGAACGAAAATCGCCGAGCTCATAAAACACGTCCAACCTTAGCGGCTGCCACAGACAAAGTAAACAATGAAAACAGCTAAAGTTTTTATCATACTTCAGGGGCATATATACCAACATAATAAAGAAAATTTTATCACAAGCGAACCCGCGAAATTTAACAATTCCCGTTATTTTCTGAACACACCTCGTATTTGAAGAGAGATGAAACTTTGCCAAACCTTGGTATTTAAAATTTTGAATCATGACAAATTTTTTTATACCTACCTAATAGGTCAGGGTTATCCCATCCTTATTAACTATTTTGATTTATATAAATTTTGTGAAAGTCCAAACAATATGCAAAACAATAATTCCAATTATACACGGAAAAAAATGTTTTCTAAATGTAAAAATACATTTATTTTTTAAAAAAATCACTTGATTTAAGTATAATTTGTTTAGGCTACGAATACATTAAATTTCTTTAAAATTTTAACCTAAGAAAGACTTTAAATGAAATAATCCTATTCTATTATATTTATTCTAAGATTAGTAAATATTGGTACGACTGGCCTATTTTTAAAAATATCCCCCACTCACGAAAATGTCCGACATTTTGGAAGATTGTTTCTTGTGTTAGTTAATATTTGTTTTAGAATTATGAAAGAGCTGCTAAATTATTGGAATTTGATAGAATTAACCACCAAATGTTTGTTTAGGTAATAATTATTACATAATTATATTTATGTGTGTAGTATTATGTTTTGAATTTTAGATGTTGGAGTGATATTAGGTTGGTCGAAGAATCATATAAAAAACAATTATGTATGTATATTTTACCTATAGATTATAGGTACGAATCAAAATTTTGGGCCTATTAGGCATATATGCCTTATTTAAGAATTAGTACTAGCTCTAACACCCTGTAAAACTGTAAAGCATATAACAAACTAATTTAGCAATTACATCCTAAATAACCTCATTTAAAATCAAGAAAAATTTAAAATACTGTATGACAACTGTATCTAACATAAGTAGATAGTTAGTTCAATCTAAAAAGGTGTTCTAGATCTAACAATAAAATGTAAACATTAACCTTGCTAAATATTTCTCAAGCTTGGCTTCTGAGACATTCATTAAATTCTA